AGTCGGTAATTCACTAATTTGTTTTTTCAAATCAGATTTTGGTAAGTCGAATAATATTTCGATTTGACGCATATTAACGACATGTTCTTGATGAATATAATATGCACATTATTAGTGTAAAATCTCCTACAGAAATAAATGAATCAGGCCTGTGTGTGAGGGAGCGTTGTTGAAAAAGAGATTTCAGTAAATGAAAATGTCTTGGTTCAACATTCTTTGACTTGTGATTGGATTCTTGGAGGACGAGAACACCAAATCAAGCATTTAATCTTGTGCAATCATCTTGAATTGGCATATTTGGTTCGACTTCTGTACAGCAAACACAGTGAAATACCAGGGTCTGTCCTCAATAATACGCTTAGGAGGATCCCAGATCAATTCAAATGGCAGGCTGCACGGCAACTTGAGATTCTTTGACCCTCGGTGATGACAATTTAACGGATCAATCTTCCAAGCAGGACGTGATTATCATATTGGTGGAATACCAATGCCTCTCATGGCGTTGTGTATTCAAAATGAACTTCATATTTTCTTAGACAGACATGAAAATAGGATTGATCAATGCCAGTAATCTATTTAATTACTTGTGCTTTCGCTAATCGCAGGCACCCAGAAACCCATATTCTCAATACTGTGCTAAGAAGCATTGATGAGACAAGAGGAAGAGAGCAAGAGCTGGGGCATGTGCATGTGCTTCTTGTCTCCTTTTTCTCTCTATGGACTATACTTCACATGTAAAACTCCAATTTCAATTAGACTATCTTTGGCATTTGGTATTTGTAGGACTTTACTAGTTGACACCCCATGTTTGCTCCATTCTTCTATGCAAATTGGCTACTTTGAAGAAGTCACTATTGAGAAGGATATAAACAAATAAATGAATAGATAAAATTAGTTTTGTATAATGTTTAAAATTATGGTTGCTACCTCATTTGCTGGGTAGTACTTATAGTTACATGACTAATTAAATGATTAATTTGGATAGCATTCAACTATGTTACATGTACTGAATTTTTTTATCTAAACCCTTACCGACTACTTACAATAGGGGGGTGAGGACCACATCTTGGGATTTTTTTATTCACGCGGGGTCTGCGTGCATGTGAGAAGGGGTAAACAATTCGGTACATTAAATTGTATACAAATATCTTTACCCTTCATCCTTAAAGATTAAAATTGAAAGTTGAAGGCCTAAACTCCCACAAAAATGAATGAGTTTCAAGTGCAATTAAATCATCATTTGTTATAATGCTTACCATTAGAACAATGGCATTGTCAACTTCTAGTAATTCATAAAAAACAACGTTTTAATAAATAAAAACTCGAGAGCCACATTCCATTATCATAATTTACGTGCAAAAAGTTGTTGTCCACCATTAATCACATAGCAAATGTGATCATTGACACCAAAATTCGGTTGAACTTGTCATGTTAATATGGATGATCGATTCGGATGGAATCTAACAAAAAATAAAATAAAATGTTCGAGCTTGGTCTTAAAAGTAGTGTAGAACTTTATTGTACCATATAAGTTAGCACGTGGACCAATATACCGATGATGCATCTAACTACCTTTGTGGCAAATCATGAAGTATCAATTAACTTTTCTTTAACATAAAAATATTTTAAAACTCGATTTTCGTTGTTATTTTCAGTGTTCTAAAAATTGGACCAAACAAACCAATTTGATTAAAAACATCCAAAATTAGATCGAAAGTCAGACACTTCTACGTAAAAAATCAAAAAGACAAAAAACATTGTAAACAAGTCAAGAACTAACTGGCCATGCAGTCGTTGATTCACTTAAAATTTTATGATTTTTTTAACTTTTTATTATTATCGAGTTGATTGTTATTCAAATATTTATTCATTGACTCTTTCTATATTTTAACGTTATTCGTTACTAGCAGTGATCACCAACCATTTAAGTAGAACTGAGTTCCCTAATTTATTGTCAATTGATTTTTCTTGAGTGACACCATCAATTAGTGTTGTGAAACATTTTTATATGTCAATAATGCTATTCATTTCTATAGGAGTTCACCACCCGTCAATGTGGCAATGGAATTACATCACACTATTCAATAAATAACGTACCCCACTATCAAATAGACGAGCGATAAACTTCTCTATAGATAAATTAGTATATATATTTTACAGTTAATTAGGGACTCAATGTCACTTAAACCAGTGGCGATTATAAATAGCGGTACACATTTTTAGGAATCCATTTTCAAAATATTAATTTAGTATAAAAATATGAGTAGTGTTATTGGTGCAGAGTATTTAAATATCGATGTTACATTATTCCATAAAAAACTTACGTAATAACGTTATATTGAAATTATAATCATGCTATTCGTACAATTTTTTTTTTTACAATATTGATGGAAAACTCACTCCCACTTCCTTAAATTATTAGCCAAGTTGTGATCCTCCCAAGTCCCAATCTTACTTGTCAGAACCCAATCCAATCCAACCCACCAAAGCTACCCTGATATCTGCCCTCAACACGCAGGTAGTCTACACTGCTTCCACGAAGGCATTCCCATTCACCATAACCATGAACAACACAATTAGCCCATCAAACAAATTCAAATCCACACACTACACACTCTTTTTCACATTTTTTCAGTAAATATAAAGTTTCTTCTGAACAATAAAGTAATCAATCGATCGATCGATTGATTGAAAGATAATTTCTTGTTATTATGGTTAAGAAAGGGGTACCCGACTGGCTCAATAGCTCCCTCTGGTCCTCCCCGCAACCCCAATCGCCGCCGGGTAGTAGCGACGCAGTTGAATCCCATGAGCCGGTCTTACGCGGCGCTGCAAAGTCTGCTGTGGTAGAGTCGATTGTCGAGCCGCCGGTGCCGGTGCCCCCACCGACTGTATCGAGACCAGTTGACCCACCAAGTTCTGTTCATAGTAGTACTACTAGTGTGAAAGGGGAAATTAGGGATCCTTTGAGCAGTCATAATGGTAGTAATTATGGGAATACTAATAACAATAATTATAATAGCGTGGAGGAAAATGGGAGTTCTTCTAACAATTCTACGATCGCCTCCATTGCTGCTGTTGGTGCAAACGCTGGTGCGGCGGTAGGCCCTGTTTCTAGTTCTTTGGCTGAGGACATTTCTTCCAAAGCCCAGCTTTTACAAGAGGTATGTGTGAGTGTGTGCGCTTTTATTTATAATGAATATTTATATTCGGTTCAAATTTAAGTTTTTATCTTCTTACTTATGAGATGTGCATCTGTACATGAAATTCCTTGATGTTACAATTTTTTTCAATGACACTCAGAGGACAGAAATGGTAATTTATGTTGTTGAATGGATTAAAATGTAAAGCTATGAGGTTATTAAGACTAGAACAAGATATGCACAATGTTCATTTGGTCAATAGTAAATATAACAATGAGAGTGCAGTCATAATAGAGGATTATGTTGTGTCAAAGGACATCTGGTTTCATTAATTTGGTTTGATTGAGAGAGGGAGAGAGAGAGATTGTAAAGGATATAACACAAACCATCAGCATGGGTTCGACAAAATGGAGAAATGTTACATGAATTCTATGTGAAGGCAAGGTTCATTTTTTCCCATCAATGCTCGATATGTGCAAAATTTCATTAAATGGATAGTGGTGAGACTCGAACACGTGACCTTTGTACTAGCTCTGCGACCATGTAAATAACTTGATCTAAAAGTTTAAGCTATTAGAAGGTGACATATATATTATTTAAACAAGGTCTTCAACACAATATAAAAACAGAGAGTATTTTTCACCTTGTGAAGAAATCAAAGATCTTGTACATGTCTTCTACCAAATGCACATCAGCAGGGCTATATCTTAATCTCTACAAATGTCATCTGATGGCTAACCTTGTTTGCCAATACTATTATACCTATTCTTATGAGGAGTAGGTATCTTGTTATTTCTCAAAATTCATGTACATATAGAGAGGTAGAGTGACTTGGATGAGGTAAATGACAATGTGGGAGCCTGGGAGGTTTATGTCGAGCCAGGCCAGGGTGCAGACATTAATGTGCACAGTACAATAATGATGAGCAATGGATAGTTCTATGTGCTTCAGCATCATCGCTTTCTTTTCTCATCTTTATTATCTGTCTGATTTGTGGGATGTGCTTGGGTTTTTAGAGCATTTTGGTTCATATTATGAGTTGATTTGAACATTTACTTTTGTACAACTTTAGCTATCAAGGAAGATTATAAATATGGGAGAACTGCGGAGGATAACATCACAAGGCATACCTGATGGAGCTGGCATTCGTGCAACAGTGTGGAAGGTAAGAACTCTGATTTTATATATTTCCATCTTTGAGCACATGTTATATGGAAGGCATGGGTTTTACTTATGGAAGGCACAGTTCTACATTGCAATTTAAGGTTCATTTCTAGTTGAAAAAGTTCTCAGTTGGCTACTTACCCAAAAAAATAATGTTTAAGCTGCCATTCAATTAGTTTATCGAGTATATGATATGTACTTACCAAAAAAAGCCTCATGTAGTGTAAAGGCAAGCATACATTCACATCATAGATCATGAAGTGAAATATAAGATAATGTATAGGAGATTTCGGAAGATTTAAAATTGTAAAAATTTTCCCTTTTACATTACATTGCTATAAAAACAAGATCTGCCCAAAACTGGGATCAGGAACTTAATAGATTGGAATGTTGAATTATTTATCTAAGTCATAATAGATCCAGATGGGGAAAAATAGAAAACTTTGAATGGGAAGAAACATAGATGGAAATAGTTTTGTTTCATTGGAGATTTTTTTAGTGGTAAAGGACCCTTTATTGTTGTAAATTGAAGTGTGTGTATGATGTAAGCAAATAAATAGGTATATAATTTTGTCTCCCTTGGTGCAAATACAAATAGAATCTTTTCTTTGAAAAATGAAAAGAGAACAATAAGTTCAACAGTGAATTTAATGTAGTTTCCTGGTCTCCCAACACTCTAGAATGTCATTGTCTGTCAAATTGAGCATGTGTTGACTAAGTTTATTATGAAATTATAGGA